TATATATATATATATATAGGTAGAGGTTCAAACGAGAACCCCTGTGATTTACGAAAACGCAGAACAATCCAGTAACCTCAAACTTTTTTAATTAATAAATTAACTTATATTAAATATAAATAAATTAATAAGGGCAGTAATATAATTAAGTAATTTTTATAATTTTTATTTTAATTAATTATAAATATCCCTTGTTTTTCCTGGATTGATCACGTCCGTTTCCACTCTTTTCTCTTCCCTCAAAGCTATTACCCGGTCCAAACAATTGTCCATCATCAAAAGAAGACCGCCGGCTAGAAGGGTCATCGGTTACTGCCTGCCGTTGAAAAGGGAGCAGGTGGTCTTCTCCACTTTTTGGACTATCAGACAAAGAGGGGACATCCCCTTGAACCATTTCAGTATCGATAAATGGAGCCTCAATATTGGAACCATTTTGAAAGGGGGAGGCTAATGACACCCCTACCTCTTGCTAAGGGCATCCCTATCTTCTATATAATCATTTTTTTTTTGTTTGTTTTTTTTTTTGTCTTTTTGTTGTCTTTTTTTTATACTAATTTCTTTTAGTTATTTTATTTAATCAGAATAATATTATTATTACAAATATAATTTATTATTCTGTAAAAAACTAATACTAAAAAATATTATTTTTTAATCATAATTTCTATAAAAATATTATATGTTTTCTTTTCCTTTTTAGTATTTTTTTTCCTTAAATAACAATACCTTTTTCTAATAATTATTTTTAAGAATATATATATATATATATATATATATTAAATAACGATCCTTAAAAACGTAATTTTATAATAATTATTTATTAAAAAACAACCTTTTTTTTTATTATCAAACTACATATTAAATTTAATATAATAATATTATTAGATTCTTATGTATTAAAAAAAGATTTATTTAACAACTATCTGGATAGATTAAAAGTCGAGAAAACAGTGACTTAAAAATCGTTTTTCCACTTATTTGATTTGTGAGGCAAACAAACCATGATATGTAGCATTTTTTTGGGTTGAAATGATCCAAGTAAACAATTTTTAAAAGTTCGATGATTTATTAATGAAAAAATATATGTAAGGATGAATTTTTTTATAAATAACTATAACTCTGTGAATTGCACGATATTAATTTTTAATATTATTTTATTCACAATCTTTTAATTACACCATTTTAAGAATATTAAAATAACTCAAAAAATTTGAAATACTACTTTTTTGTAAAAATGATCATATTTTACAAGTCATTTTATAAAAATAACTTTTAAATTCTCGGGGCTGGTTCAAATAGAAACTAACCATATGGTACAAACTATGCGAACTGATCTTGATCGTTCATTTTATCA